AAATGGACGCATCCGGAGAGAAAAAATTTAGAATGGTAATCGATTATAGGAAACTAAATGCGATTACCGTAGCCGACCGATACCCAATTCCAGTTATTAATGAAGTTCTCGCGAATCTAGGAAATAACAGTTACTTTTCTGTTGTCGACCTAAGAAGTGGTTTTCATCAGATTCCTCTAAAGGAATGTGACATAGAGAAGACCGCCCTTTCGGTAAATAATGGAAAGTTCGAGTTCGTGCGACTTCCATTCGGGCTAAAGAACTCCCCTTCAATTTTTCAGCGCACCTCAGATGACGTCTTAAGAGACCTCATTGGCAAAATTTGCTACGTCTATATAGACGACATAGTTATATTCTCAAAAAATGCAGAAGAACATTTCGAAAATGTTAGAAAAGTATTTGAGACATTAGAATCTGCAAATTTTAAAATACAACTAGACAAGTGTGAATTTTTTAAATCAGAAATTGAGTTCTTAGGACTTATCGTAGGAACTTCAGGAATTAAAGCTAATAAGCAAAAAGTAGAAGCAATAGCCGAAATACCACCACCAAAAACGCTTAAAGATCTAAGAAGTATTCTAGGCATGTCAGGTTATTACCGGCGCTTCATCAAAGATTATGCTTGAAGCTTGCCAAGCCCCTGACATCCCTTTTGAGAGGGGAGGAAGGACGCGTTTCGAAAAACGCCTCCAAAAATGCTAAAATTTCCTTAGATCAAAATGCCTTAGATGCATTTCAAAAACTAAAAAATTCATTAGTCTCCGATGATATCATTCCCTCTCACCCCGACTTTGAAAGAAGCTTTGACTTGACCACAGATGCCTCTGACTATGCAATAGGCGCAGTCCTTTCCCAGGACAAAAGACCAATAAAATTCCTTTCGAGAACACTCAGTAAAACCGAAGAAAGTTACGCCACAAACGAAAAAGAAATGCTGGCAATAATTTGGTCCTTAAATTCGCTTAGAAATTATCTCTATGGGTCTAGAAAAGTTAACATATTCATCGACCATCAACCTCTGATGTACGCTCTCAGTAGTAAAAATACGAACAGTAAGATGAAAAGATGGAAAGCCATCTTAGAGGAATATAATTACGAACTGAAGTACCAGCCAGGTAAAATGAATGTGGTTGTAGACGCACTATCTAGGCCACCTCAAATAAATTCTATGACAGCAACACAACACAGTGACAATAGTTCTTCAGAAAACCTTATCCCCGCAGTAGAATGCCCAATAATTGTTTTTAAAAATCAACTGCATATCTTATTAAACGAACAAGAAGATTATAAATTCGAAATACCATTTCCGACTTATCACAGACATATGGTAAAAAAACCTCACTATTCAAAAGAAGACCTAATCTCAATTTTTAGGAAATACCTTAATCCAAGCATAGTAAACGGTTTATTCACGAGCGAGCCAATCATGGGAATTATACAGGAATTTTATTCAGAACATTTTAAGAACTTCAAAATAAGATTTACCCAGACACAGGTTAAAGACGTAACTGATGAGACCGAACAAGAAGAGATCATGATTAATGAACACAAAAGAGCCCATCGAATTTCGAGAGAAAACAGAGAACAGATTAAACGAAAATTTTATTTCCATAAAATGGCCGAAAAAACAGATAGAATCGCGAAAACATGTAGGACGTGTAAAGAGCAAAAATATGACCGTCAGCCAAATAAACCTAAATTACAACAAACACCCATCCCAAGGAATCCGGGGGAAATCATTCATATAGATATTTACTCAACCGAAGGACATTCGGTACTTACCGCAATAGATAAGTATTCCAAATATGTCCAAGCGAAAATATTAAAATCTAGGGCAATAGAAGACATTAAAGAGCCACTAAAAGAACTCATTTTAGCATGCGGAATCCCTAAGTTAATTGTTATTGATAACGAAAAGTCATTAAACTCCGCATCAATAACTATTATACTTAAAAACCAGTTTGGAATAAATATCTTTACCACTCCTCCCTACTCTAGCACCGTAAACGGTCAGATAGAGAGATTGCATTCCACCCTTGCCGAAATCATGAGATGTCTCAAACCAAATAAGCTTCACAACTCTTTTCACGACTTATTAATCAGAGCGATTTGCGAATACAATTCATCGATTCACTCCACTACAAAATGCAAACCGGTAGACATATTTTTCAATAGAAACAATGATCCACAAAAAGCTTTAATAGAAAAGGAAGAAATCATCAATAGGCTAACGGAAAAGCAAAAACAAGATTTGGAATATCATAACAAGAATAGACAGGAACGTAAAACTTACTCTGTAGGAAAAAAAAAATTTTCGTAAAAATTAATAACGGACTAGGATCGAAACTCTCTGCGAGGTATAGAGAAGAAACGGTAAAGGAAGACAAAAACACGACTGTCCTTACCATGTCAGGCAGGAGTGTCCATAAAAACAATATAAGAAAATAAATTTATTTTTCAGGCTGTACATCACCTACGCCCTAGCAGAATTTCATTGGACTATACTACGTCCTATATTGTCACTATTGACAATGGAGCTGCAAAAATCCAACAGGGCTCCTTCACAATCATTCATTCAATAGATTTGGAAGAATATGGAAAAACTATTTTTGACGCTCGAACCTTCATTGAAGAAAACATCCGAAATAACCACAACCTTTATCCTCTCCTTCTCCTCGAATTAAATCAAGCCATCTCTGTTTTAGAAAATATAACACCAGCATCTTATGATAGAAATAAGAGATCAATAAATGCCATAGGCACGATCTGGAAATATATTGCAGGAAGTCCTGACCATGATGACTTCGAGATAGTAACAAGCAATATGAATGATTTAAATAAGAATAATAATAAGGAAGTTTATGTTAACGAGGAATTTAATAAAAGAATAAACAATCTAACCGAAATAATTAACAAAATGTCAAATATAATAAGAAAAGACGTCTATTTAGAAAACGAAGTAGCTATTAATTTACGAAATAGAGTAAGGTTAGTTAAGGAAGAAATAATAAACATCCAAATTGGTATTGAGTGGGCAAGACTTGGAATAGTCAGCCCATTAATATTAGATAAAAAGGAAATTAAATTAGCCATGGATAAAATCAAAGGAGAAAATATTGCTTTTGTAAGCCCAGAAGAGGCATTAGAATTCGCCAACGTATCAGTCTTGTACAACAACAAAAAAAATATTATATTTATTAAAGATACCGATCACTACAAAAGACACGTATAGAAATATCGTAAAACCTGTGAGAAAAAATAAAAGTATAATTAATGTATAATATGAACATATTTTGAAAACAGAAAAACTAATTTATGCAATAATAAATGAATGTAGAACTGTAAGCAAGTTAATGATTTGTAAAGAGAGCGACATAATAAATATATCAAACAATAAATGTATCCCTAATCTAATAGAAAGTCGCAATTTCTCTTGTTCAACGAGCAACGATCATCACATTGCTTTAATTGAAGAAATAGACGCGGGAGTAGTTCTCCTTAACGGTTTTAATGGAAGAATCTCAATAGACGAAACCAACCATACCTTAATAGGAACTTTCATAATAAAATTTCATAACAGCACGATAAAAGTTAATAACAGGACTTTCATTAATTTGGAGGCTTCCCCTCTTCAAGTTATCCCAGCACTGATGCAACCAACCCCTTTTGAAATTGACCACCTCAACCTGTTATCACTCGAAGCTCTTAATGAGCTACAAATCAATAACACACAAATTATTTCAACTATTCAAAAACACTTAGAAATCGGAGGATGGTCAATCTCCGTAATAATGATCATAATTTCAATTGTGTGCTTGAAATTTTTCTTTAAGTCCATTGAAAAAACAATAGTTTGGGAACCCCAAATTCCTCACACTACTGACGAACCTCATATGGCAACAACTTTCCAAATTAGCAATGATCCCCAAAACCCAGAGAACTCCAAGCCCCTATCAAACCACCAAGGCTAAACGATATTCCTTTCTTTTAAATGATTGAGGACACTCAAATTAAGATGGGAGGAGTTAACACCAAAAATGTTTTCGTGGAATATTTTGCACTAAATTCACTTCTTTCGCAACAATTATAATGCTTGCGCACATTTCCGGTCTTCTATCCAATTTCATTCTTTTATTTCTTTTTCTTTACACACGCGCCTCGAAAAAAAGCTGACGCACTGTCTGCATTGAATGCAACTCCACTTGATCGCGTTGCACTCAATGTGATGATCATGGCTCAGGTAATTTTAAGTTATTTTAAGTTCAGTTGTAAGCTCGCACGCAGAGAATGAAGACATAGTCTTCTAGTGCTTAATTTTAAAACAAATTAAATTTTAAGTTCTTTTAAGTTCAGTTGTAAACTCGCACGCAGAGAAAGAAGACATAGTCTTCTAGTACTTAATTTTAAAACAAATTAAATAAAAGACATAGAGGACATAGTCCTCTCTTTTTAATATTAAAAGAAAAAATTTGTTTTAATAACTTATACACGGTTTTGCTACAATATTTTGATAATTTTTGAAAACGAAACGACCATTTGTAGCTTCTCTAACTTTTTTTGTCTCTATTCCACTTTATTCTACACTCGCTATTTCTCGTTCTCTTCGCGCTTTTTAATAGTTCCAAAATGAGAACACTACGCGAGCATAAAAGAAGACACATCTTTTCTTTATTTATTGTACATTTTTTCATACGGTAAGAGGAGGTGAATTCAATTCATGATTTGTTGTTAATTCAGCCCGTTGCCGGTCGCCAGACAATACTTGTATAAAACAATTATGTCCGATTATGAAACAAAAATTCGGACACATTTAAGAATTTCTTGCAGAACGTTTACAAAACTTATCCAACTAATTCCTACAAAACATCACCAATATGAAGTTATTTGCTTTTATTTTGAGTGTCATGTGGCTGAATTCATTTGTTTTTGTTATTGTTATGTTGTGATGTTCTTGATAGTATATATTTATCATAACGTCAAAATTTTGTTTGTTCTCACCACGAAAAATCTCAGTAATACATTGTTGACTGTCAAAATTAACAATTTTCACCCAAATGGCACACAGCCTTTATCTCAGAATTAGACGTCTGTAAACTTCAAAGAAGCCGCGATTATGAAGCATACGTTCGTAGAACTGCGGAACTGCATCACATGCCATGAAATACTTTTGCATATACATGGTTTTGTTACAATATTTTGCAATAAATTTTGAATACAATTATTAAATTTAAAAAGCTATATAATTGCCGCTTTTATTGAAATACTTACAGAAGACCAGAAAAAATACCTCCAAAATTATATAACTTGATGGCTAATTTTACTGAGTTTTGTTTGGGTGGAAACTCAGTAAATTTCTTCCTTTTGGAGTGTAAGGCATCTTACTCTCTCCATTATTTACTGCCTAATTTTTACTGACATTGCTCAACAAACATTACTAATACGTTTGCTTCTCAGATGACGCTACAAGACAAGGTAATTTGTAGTTGTATCAGAGATTATGAAATAGTTGATTAAGTACATACAAATTGAAGGAGAATGCAGTTGAAACGGATTATCCATTTTATTTTATGTTCTTATTTTCGAGTAGAACGCCATTTCATCGTTTTCTCCGTAGCACACAGAAATATAAAATATGGCTAAGGAACCTTGTACAAGCTGTAGTAATAATATATTGTCGATAACATAACTACATAAATTTTCATTGCTCTTTAAATGTTTATTATTGATGGGCGGCCTATATTGTACGGAAAATTTATGTAACGGAGTAGGTTGACTGAAATAGTTGCTCCTCACCATGCAGCAGCAGTTGCAGATCTGAAAATATTCAATAAAACTGAGCGAGGCACATCTGCATTTAGATATTATTAATATTCTGATTCAAACATTCGTTTTTTACTTATTGTAATATCTCTTTTCTTATCGCTCTTCATGTTCACACCGAGATACTTTCTTCAATCAATTTTTCTGACATTTGTAGCTTCTCTAACTTTTTTTGTCTCTATTCCGCTTCATTCCACACTCGCAATTTCTTGCTCTCTTCACGGTTTTAATAGTTCTAAAATGCGAAAACACCACGAAAAACCTCAGAATTTCAATGTGGGCTGTCAAAATTAACAATTTTCACCCAAATGGCACACAGCCTTTATCTCAGAATTAGACGTCTTTAAACTTCAAAGAAGCCGCGATTATGAAGCATACGTTCGTAAAACTGCGGAGCTGCATCACATGCCATGCAATACTTTTGCATATACACGGTTTTGCTACAATATTTTGCAATAAATTTTGAATACAATTATTAAATTTAATAAGCTATATAATTGCCACTTTTATTGAAATACTTACAGCAGACCAGAAAAAATACCTCCAAAATTATATAACTTGATGGCTAATTTTTACTGAGTTTTGTTTCGGTGAAAACTCAGTAAATTTCTTTCTTTTGGAGTGTAAGGCATCTTACTCTCTCCATTATTTACTGCCTAATTTTTACTGACATTTCTCAACAAACATTACTAATACGTTTGCTTCTCAGATGACGCTACAATACAAGGTAATTTGTAGTTGTATCAGAGATTATGAAATAGTTGATTAATCTGACGGTGTCGACTACGCTGCGTGCATATGCTTTTCTGTTGAAAGTGGCGGCATAATCAAACATTGCCATTTTCGTTTTGCTCCTTTTTTATTTTGCTTTTGGTTATATATTTTGTAAACAGTTGTTTCTTGTTGTTTTTTAATCATCAATATTTGTATCTATCATGTGGATCGACTGAAGTAGATTTATTTAAACTGTTATGCTAAACAAGTAAAGGGTTTAGTGAAATAAGTCGGAACCTTAACAGAAAAGTTCAAGCGTTATGAGAGTATGTTCCTGCCCTTCAAGTGTTTGGATGAATCCCAAGGAGATGATAGTGCGTTTCAAATCATTCATCTCAAAAAATAACCTCTCCGCGTCCTCTTTATATTAATTTAATCAACGTTTCGTCTCTTGTCCCCATATAGTACAGTTTTCCACATCTTAAGAACAGACTAACGCCCATGCCAAAATGCTGAGCCACCAGTAGCTATTTTGTTGTTCCCAAAAAAAACTCGTTTTATTTCTAGATTTGCTAAAAAATACCACCAGCGGAGAAGGTTAATCTTACATCACAACATATATTAAAACTGATGGAATAGACAGTTAGGAAATTTAATTTCAAAAATGAAGGAATAGTTCTTCGTTCAAAATCGATATTTCGTATGAAAGCTTTAATCAACTTCTTGATAGTACATAATAATCTTAATTAAGAAAATATTAATAGCACGCTAGCTGACTTGCATCTGTATGTTCTACATTGTAATTTCAATAGCTTAAACGGTTGCGCAACGGCATGATTACATAGTGTGCTGACGTTTTAGAGCACACCCATACATACCTTCCCGGTTGGGCATATCTTAATACATGCGCCATGCTTGTTTATATCAAAATTTAATATCTCCAATCGCTCAAACGATTTCGGACAGCACTCACACACAGGCAAATTTTTTTGTTTATCGTTCTCTTCTAAATACATACAAATTGAAGGAGAATGCAGTTGAACGGATTATCCATTTTATTTTATGTTCTTATTTTCGAGTAGAACGCCATTTTTATCGCTTTTCCCGTAGCAGACAGAAATAAAAAATATGGCTAAGGAACATTGTAAAAGCTGTGGTAATAATATATTGTCGATTAATTAACTACTTAAACTTTCATTGCTCTTTAAATGTTTTTATATTGATGGGCAGCCTATATTGTATGGCAAATTCATGTAATGAAGTAGGTTGACTGGAATAGTCGTTCCTCACCGTGCAGCAGCAGTTTCAGATCTGAAAATGTTCAATAAAACTGTGCGAGGCACAACTGCATTTAGATATTAGTCATATTCTGATTCAAACATTCATTATTTACATATTGTAATATCCCTTTTCATATCGCCTTTCACGTTCACACCGAGATGCTTTCTTCAACCAATTTTTCTGACATTTGTAGCTTCTCTAACTTTTTTATCTCTATGCCGCTTTATTCTATACTCACCATTTCTCGTTCTCTTCGCGCTTTTTAATATTTCTAAAATGAGAACACTACGCGTGCATAAAAGAAGACACATCTTTTATTTATCTATGGTATCATTTTTTTATATGGTAAAATGAGGTGAGAAAAATTTACATTTGCTGAGCCAAATGAAATTTTAGATTTTGACGTAAACTAAATGAAAAACTCGTGAGAAAGTTGCATATATTTTTTGCACACAGGTAAAGAATTAGTTTAATAAAAGAAATTACTTTTCTTTACTAATGTTTCCACCAATAAAGCAGAAGCAGTGAATTCAATTCGTGATTTGTTGTTAATTCAGCCCGTTGCCGGTAGCCAGACAATACTTGTATCAAAACAATTATGTCCGATTATGAAACGAAAATTCGGACACATTATCCAACTAATTCCTACAAACATCACGAATATGAAGTTATTTGCATTTATTTTGGGTGTCATGGGGCTGTATTCATTTGTTTCTGCTATTGTTATGTTGTTATGTTCTTCATAGCATGTATTTATCATCACGTTCATTTGTTTCTGTTATTCTTATGTTGTTATGTTTTTCGTAGCAAGTATTTATCATAACGTCAGAATTTTGTTTGTACTCACAATGAAAAATCTCAGAATCTCAATGTTGGCTGTCAAAATCAACAATTTTCACCCAAATGGCACACAGCCTCTATCACAGAATTAGACGTCTTGAAATTTCAAAGATGCTGCGATTACGATGGATACGTTCGTAGAACTGAGGAGCTGCATCACCTACACATGACACTATGAAATACTTTTGCATATACACGGTTTTGCTACAATACAATGCTTCGCTTATTTTTGAAAACGAATTTATTGTTGTATTGTTATCTATTTCATATTTAAATATTGGTTATTAGAATAAAGACTGATTCTGTAACTACCCATTTTACTTACCTTCCATACATTAAAGCCGTCTGGAAGAGCGATATGCATACACGAGTTATCGACGCTGCTGAGAGCGGCAAAATGATGCCAGCTGCGAGTGTGTTTGCACACTTTTGAACAAATTCATAGTTTTCGTCAACGAATTTTATAATTAATATGCTTGAATATAAACACTAGACAAATATAAATTATCTATACGGTAACAAATAATTAGTTCCGAACTAAGTTTTCATTTCTTTTCAAAATAAATACATATTAATGTTACTTTAAGAAAGACTATACCGGCAACCTTATATAGCAACGAGAAATGAGCCGAGCCTGTGGGATAGCCGTCACTAACGGCATGAGCAAGCGGTGACAACTTTTAAGATAGGTTACTATGGACGGCTGGTACGTGAGTTGGGTAGTTGCAGCATAAAGACTAGAATAAGTGATTTGTAGGTTATAATGGACACTGAGCTCAACTTTCACCTTCATATTAATACCACAACTAAAACTGATAAATGGAAATACATGATTAGCTTTCTACAGCTATATTTTTAGTTTCGTCAACTGTCATCAGCTGTTTTATAGTTCATTTCGAAAGTGAAATGTAACATCGTATTATTACTATTGCAGAACACCCAAAATAAAGTTTACTTTTCGAATTACATTTCATTCTCATTCCACTATTTTTCTGGAATATGAGAAAATACGACGTGATGAGAAGTCCACTTAAAAACGTCGACGCCGTCAGCTGCTGTAGACTTGATTATTTTCTAGTAGAAGTTTTCTAGGCATACTTCAAACAAGTTAGGAATAGAATAGACGAATGTAGTGATTCCATAACAATTCATTGTTTTTCAAGATCTTTTTTATTATTATTTTGCATTTGTTTTGGTTTTACTGATTCAATAACAAATATGCTGTCTTCACTTCGGCAAAATAAGTGTCAAATTAATTTTACACTTCACATTTAGACATATAATTCGTATTAGTTTTTAAAATTAATGTTTTTGTAGCATTATTGCGATATTTAACCATAATTAATGTTATATTTAAAGTAATTTTCGTTCAATCTGATTGAAATTACAATCTTTTGAACCACAAGAAAAAATTACATATAAAATTCTAAGTCCAGTCGTCTATCAGTCAATCTATGTATGTACCATATAATTTTGTTGCAACTTGGTTTTTGTCGAGTAGTTAAAATTTACAACTTTTTTTCTTGATTAGTGTTATATATAGATTTTGAACGTATGTCTCTCACACGGAATTTAGTCATCCACAATAGAGCAAACAAATTGGGAAATATAATCATATTCATCCCTGCCCGGTGGTCTTTGTTGATTCTGTTGATTTTGTGTTTGGCGCCATCCGGGAGCAACGGGGTTGGCACTACTAACACAATTTGATGAAGCATTAGGACCTCCATTTCCCCCCGCCATGGTACTATTTCCACTTTTGCTACCGTTGGAACTACAAGCACTAGAACCAGGTTGACTTTGACTATTGCCATTACCTCCAGTGCTACCACCACTTATTGTGTTGCCTCCGCAGCCATTATTAGTACCAGAAACACTTACCACTGAGTGATTAGCTATGCTACCGTTGCCATTGCCCCCAGTTACACCTCCACCAACATTATTACAAGGGCCACTACTATTACCACTCCCAGAGTTATTTGCTCCAGATACACTTCCACCATTGTTTGGAACGTTGCCTCCATTCCCTGATAAAACAGATCCAGATATAGTATTAGATGTCTGAGGCAAATGCTGTAAAATATTTTGAACTTCATTTTCACTTGGTGACTCTGCACAAATAGTAGTGCTACCGAGGTCACAGTTATTTAGTGACATTTGGGCTTTGTTTGCTTCCTCTCGTGTCGCATATTTACATAAGGCAATTCCTTGATTAAGATATAAATGGAAATTAGCAAGTGGGCCATGCTGCATACATAAGGTACGTAAAGTTGAGCCATCAATCTAATAATAATGAAAATAAAATTAATATAGCTGGACCTGTAGTAGAATAAACTTAGCATCCACCTGCGCCGTTAAATTTTTGAGTAGTAACCATGTTGAGCTCCATCCCGAGTTCGATGAATTCCAAGCTATATTGCTATTGGATACCCCTCGACCACCAGTACTAACAATCCATCCGTTAGAGCTTCCAGCTACCACGGAAGAGGAGTTCGTTACCGAAGATACACAAGTTACGGATACTCCTTGAGCTTTGTTTGAGCCCAAGCCTGGTGGAGGACCCCGCGATGTTTTGTTTAGTGATGTTGACCACAGTTCCGACGGGGCGCATTGTTGCGGACTATCGGACCAACTATATTTAATTAGTATGTATGTGCATATCACACAAAAAAATATTCTGGATACTATATAAGCACAATAGCTACAAAGTATACACCACATTCCAGAAAAATATTATATAATATAAAGTAGTTTTTATTCGGTACATTACCAAATTAGTTAAATACCTTTCTCGAAGTAGTGTATACGTGATGGTTAAAATAAAGTAGGTTGAATATATTTTAATGTGTTGGATTTCTTTAATTATTCCTTACAATCTATATTTGGATGCTCTACCTTTGAAAATTTTGATTACTTGATGATGGATTGAAGCTCCATGTTGATGAAGATAAACTTAGCGGTGTTAAATCAGTCGGTGAACTTTTGCTGGGATTCGCAAAAATATCAGCTTCTTTTGGCGTAGAATTTATAGACAGTGGAGATCTAGCCACGCTGCCAGGAGTTATACTAGGATCGTCTTCTATACTTTTAATCTGTGAGCCCTTCAAGACAGCAACATTTTAACAAAAACCAAAACATGTTTAAAAAAATATTTTACCTTCCATGGTTTGCCTGGTTCAAATTCTTGAACCAAATCAGTGTATGTCGCTGCAGTTGCAGGTTGTGCAACGGACCAGTCTTTATTCTCAGTTTCAGCGGATGAATCTGGCCAACCATCGCCAATACTTCGCCCAGTCGACCAAGTACTAGATTTAGTATTTCAAAGTAAAGTAATTTTAAGTTGCATAGTTAATAATTCGCAAGCTTAAGTAAAAAGGTTACCACTTACCCATCATTTTGTAGACCTAAGGGTCCCATGGTACTACCAGCAGCACTTGACAAATTTTGCTTGGAAGCTCCAGGAGCTCTTGAAAAATCTGTGCTATCAGACGTTATATCTTTTTCGGGAAGCTTCCACTGATTAATAAGTTTTGACTGCGAATTTGGACCTCCTGGATAGCCACCAGACTGCAATTATTCATGCAAAATATAAATAAAATAAAAATATCCTTGATTGAACCTTAAGGTACTTACCTTAGCCAAGTTAATTTCTGAAAAATTACCCTGTAAAGCACTTATGGCATCATGCGATCTTATATACTCCAAACTGGAGTTATTGACATGTGCCGCAGGATGCTGTTGTGCATTTTGTGGCATGGACTGCTGCTGCTTTTGTTTAACAATGAACGCTTGATGCGCGTTTATTTGATTTTGTAAATTCTGAATTTGTTGTTTATATTTGGCAATAGCATAATTTATCTGAGTGTTATTAGCATTATTACCACCACGAGTTAAAGATTGTTGAGCCGCCTGGAGGTGCTGCAATTTCTCATATTTAATACTATTTTAAGGTATCTCTAATATTACTTACTTTAATATTCGTTAATAGCTGATACAAAAGTACAAGCATTGAAGATGGTAAAGGCTCTGATAAAATTTGGCTAGATAGGTATCCGCTATGAACAGCTAGCTGAATTTGCTGTACAAGGACTCGAAGCTGTTGAGCAGATGGTTGACTATTCGTATTAGCTGATGCATTTACTGCTGCAGAGACATTAGCGACTCCCGGACCAAATGTCACGGCGGTATTCATAGCCTGTGGCCCACTTGCAACGCCATGTGGCGCTGGATTAAGATATTTTTGCACAGGAAGTGGTTGTATTGAGTTAATTGCTGCTAAGTTTGAGTTAGTACCGCCAGCACCAACGTTATTACCGCTAATATTGTTTAATATATTCTAAATAATAACCAATAATCAGAGTTAATAAACAATGTAAGTTAAATTAATTAATATATTACTACCGGGGGGAATGGCATATTAGGCTGAGAGGCTGTTGGGGGGTACCTCCCTGTGAAACTTCCTCCAGGATTTGTATGTTCACCATAGGAACCTAGCGTTTCTTCATGTCGTCTCCATTCCATGGATATTGGAGCACGAAGTAAGTCTGCTGCCTCTTCAATGTTCATATTAGCATTCAAAAGAGCTCGCTCTGCATCATCTTTTTTAAAGCCATTTTCAATGAGTACACGATACTGTTTACTTTGTTTAATCACATCTGTGTTCAAGTTACCAATATTAACACCACACAATTTAGGCTGAGTTTTGGACACAATACCACCATGATTATTCCAATCTGAAGACAAATCACTATTGTCATTGCCACCGCTTGCACCCCAACCGGTTCCTCCACCAGATATTTTATTTTGAGTTTTATTCCATGAGGAAGGTGGATCATTCCAAGCAGTAGTTCCACCGACATTGACACCTAATTGCCCAATACTTCCATTAGTTTTATCATCCATCCAATTAACGCTTGTATTGGGGACTACATTATGATTTGCTTCATCACCCCAAGAAGCAGTATTGCGAACATTAGCATTTGGATTGCTTCCGTGTACCCACATAGTACTATCAGGTTTATGCTGATTGACACCCACGCCGCCCGGTCCAACCGTCGAACCAAGCCGCCCTTGAGCACCAACGCCACTCATAGAATTATTCCCATTGCTACCGACTACTGGCACATTTAGCACGCCCTGATTAATACCTAAACCGTTTCCAGAGCTACTGCCAAGGCCACTAACTACGTTTGTGGAATTCTGATTAGTCACAGTGCTTCGCGTTAAATGTCTATTCATTGGATCTGGAATATCTTTCCAGTGAGAGCCACTCCCGGAGGGGACCCGGGTCTGTTGTCCCCATAAAGATGTCCCATCATCATAGTTGGGAATATTACGTCGCTGTGGTGGAGGCGAGGGTTCTTCCCACCCGGTTACTTTACCTGCCAGTGAGTTAATATCTTTGGGACCAACAACCGCAGTTGATGAGGAAGTCACCCAATGAGCATTTACGTTGGTACTCACACCGCTAGGATTAATAGAATTCATACCGCCAGGGCCGAGGCCAGCTATACTTCCTCCAGTAACTACAGTACCAGAGGATACTCCGGCGCTTACTCCAACTCCAGGTCCAACTATTTTATTCAAGGCTGGTATCTGATTATGTGGAATGGAATGATGTTGTCCCCACATTTCTGACGTTCCATTTAAACGCCCCGATATTCCACGAGGATCACCTCGTATTGGGTCTCTTGGATCCATCATACGAATATCTCGCTGTTCAGCACCTGATGTACTACGCATTGCATCACGGGGATCAACTCCGCGCATAGCTACTGCTCCACTCACAACCCCACTATTCATCTCACGTGAATCTCCCCAATTGTTACCAGCGGAACCAGTAGCTGGAGCTGTATTCACACCTCCTGGCACAGGCCCTCCAGCAGCACCTCCTTAAATAAGTAAAATAAATTCAACAAATAACCACTCAAAATTATAACCATTTAATACTTAATATATTTGCTTAGCAACTCATCCTTACCTACGGTAGATACATTACCAATGTTTACGGATGACGCTCCTGAAGCGTTAGCATTTGACCCAATCCCAACACCAGCAGCAGTTTGACTCCATTGTGCTCCATTTCCGGAGCCATTAGTGCCCACAGCTGACGAGCTAGCTCCAGCTACTCCAACAGCACTAGCAGCTGTAGCATTATTCGATGAACCAGTCCAAACGCTGCTATTCTCAGGCCCGTCATCGTCTTCACCCCATGTCCCACCTAAATTAGATGATGGTGTATGACCCCATGGAGTTTTCTGGACTGCTTGAGTTGGCGGTTGACCGCCATTGCGTAAATTTAACTCCCACAAATCAGTACCATTATTTATAGTGGGCTTCCACATAGTAGGCCCACCCGTTGGATCCTTATTGGTTGGCTCTGGCGAGCTGGGTACTTCCCAATTTGTATCCTGATTAACGTGCTGGCAGCCCCAGCCATCCTGAGAAAAAAGCGCTTCACGCATTGTATTCAATTGTTCTAATTGGTTTTTGGCAGCTGCTACAGATGTTCCTCCTCCAACTAATCCAATACCGCTAGTGCTATTTCCAGCATTGTTATTCGAGTTCTGGCCTATAGTGCCAGAAGTACAATTTCCACTGTTATTTGCTTTAGTGCTATTCGTATTGTTATTATTGGCTCCCCCGTTATTACTACTGCTTTGTCCAGGCTGAAACATGAAAAAACACATATCGGCGAATGAAAGGAAAATTTATAAATATTATATATAAAAATATAAATAATAATATACATATATATACTGACGGACACAAGTTTTGGCACAGTGGGAGTTTCTTAGCTTATATCTTTGTGGCTCCGTTTGTATACGAGGTAGGTCAGAGCAATGTATTAGCCATATATTCACCTGAATGTTTTCTAATAATATACAAAGTATCGCAAATTACTGCCTCGAGCTATTTTATTTTATTTTAATTAAAAATTTCATGTATTTTGGCTTTGGATTTGTAAAATAGTAAAGTTGAGTCGTTATACCATTCGAAGAATACTTGCAAGAAAGTATACAAAAGTTGAATCTTCGGAATTTATTTTATCCACCACGTTCCCCGTATTCTTGAAACTCTTCCTCAGTCCTCCGCAAAAATGTTAAATGAGAGATAAATGCTTATATACTCGCATTTAAATATTATTTGTTTTCTTTTTTAATACTAAGTGTTGGTGTACCAAAACTTTTTTCCACCGAAATAAGTAACATTTTTATTTAAATTTTTCTATTAAAATAATTCAAGGTAGTAATTGTGCGATACTTGGTATCCACACGAAATAGGAACTAAAGATATGGCAAAAGTAGAGATCAATAGGATCATATCCAACAACTTGCACTAGGGATTGTCCATACACCACGAGCTTATTTTAACGATATTAGGGATCCTCTTTTCATGTAGCCTAACCAGTCCTCTCCAGTAAACCCCTCCCTCCCCTGTACGATGTAATGTAGTTTTGTCTCACACATCTTTTCGTTTTCTACTGTATAATTTAAAAATATTTTCTAGAACGAGTGTATTATAATATGTCTAAGCTTGGGGGTAGGAGGGAGAGGATATTTAGGAGTAGGGAAAGTGATACTAAGTAATGCCCTTAAATGTATTCATAGAGCTGTTTGGCTCTTAATAGAGTTCGGGTGTGAACTCCATAGGAAAAAATTTGAGGTGGTGCGGACCATTCCTCTTTACACACTATGTATTTATTGGGAGGAACTCAGGAGTAATTTCCAGGTGAGTAATTTGGAGATGGTGCGGGGCGACCATTCCATTTGTTGCGTTGGAAGCATATTGAGCGATTCGGCCCCTCAAAATTTGTGGAGCGAGGGGCATTCCAGTGGTTTTGCAAATCCAGCTTGCAACTCTTAGCAACTAACGTTTTTCCCCAGTTCCTGGTGTGGTTAAGCATCTAAGCAAGCAAACATGCAAGCTGTCACCAAGCATATTGAGTCTAGCATCTAATAAACACTTTAAATTTATTGCTCCACTTTTCACCTGAAAATAGCAGATATGCATATAAGCATGCATGCGTATGCACATATGTGCACATACGCATGTATGTATGCATGCATATTTGCATAAGTACCTCAAATGACAGAAAGCAAAAACTAATGCTTAAGATTATGCAGGGAAAATGTGTGCGTAATAATAGCAGTGGCTAGTGGAAATTGAAGTACCGCTTTTCTTATATTAAAATAATACCAATGCCAATACTGTATTTTAAATTAATTTATGTGTAGTTACCACATTCATGAAATTCCTTTAATTTTTTAATTAGCTGTACCCTTTTACTGTGATTTCAATAAGCAGTGCCAGTAAATTCCAGTCCTGCAATATGGTGCGGAAGTATGGGCGATGATAGTATCTGATTAGTCGGAGCTAAGAGTTTTCGAGAGAAAAGTTTTGCGTAAGATTTATGGTCCTTTGCGCGTTGGCAACGGCGAATACCGCATACAATGGAACGATGAGCTGTACGACTTGTTCGGCGACATTGATAGAGACCAGCGAATCAAGAAGCAGGGGCTACGCTGGCTAGGTCAAGTGATCCGTATGGATGCGAATATTCCACCTTTGAAAATTTTCGATGCAGTACCCGCTGGTGGAAGCAGAGGAAGACCTCCACTCCGATGGAAAGACCAAGTGAAGAAGGACTTGGCTGTACTTGGTATTTCCGATTGGCGCCAAACAAAACAAAGAGAAACAATGGGGCATTGACGCAAATCGGCTATAATCGCGTCAGCGGTGTGTACGCCAGTAAAACAGCAGTGTGAACGAGTTCAGGACAACATGACAGTTTAATTTTAAAAAGCCAATTTATACCTCAAAAAGAACTAAAGATGAGCAAAATCGTACGTCCCCGGACTGTATTACACAAACGATTGTATATCTTATAATCATATGACTTAATAAATATTTAGTAATAGTTAATAAATTATTTCTCACGTAAAAACTATTAACTTAAAATTAACAATTCTTTCATCTGAAGAAAACAACGTAGCGTTGCTATAGGTGGTGAATCCTCTTTATTTCGAGTGGGTTTAAAACGCTGTTGTTTTGTTGTAACAGTTCTTTAACCCCGCTAAGGTACAAGTTTGATCAATCTAAGTCGCCGAGGTCATCTAGTGGGAAGTCCACGAAACGTTCATTTCGACGGACCAAAGGGAGAGGTTAGAGTCGTGCGGAGACTCTCCACATGCAGGGCATACGTTGGATATGCTGCTGTAGAGTCTGGATAAGTAGGACTTTAACATGCTGCAGCATCCAGACCGAAGTTCTGCCAAGGTCAGGCGGGTCTCTCGAAGCAGCTCGAATCCAGTGCTACCAGGACAGCTCGCGCGCAGGGTCGGTTTTTGTTAAGGCCATTGACTATTTGGGTGTTTATAGCGTTTAGTGCTGTTGTGCTGCTGTTGGAAGCAGATGGTGAGTGAAGGTCAGGGGCAGAAAGGTCTCAAGTGTCTTCGCTACTGGGGAGAGCAGAGTTATCGGCCGATAGGACTCACCTTTGTTGGCTGGTATCCCCGGTTTGAGTAGCGAGACTACACTGCCCATTTTCCACACGTCGGGTGTCATTAGGGTGGTCAAAGATAAATTGGGGACCTTCCTGAGAAATTCTGCTCCCGCTGGTCCTAGATGTTTGAGCCTAGATGCGTACTCTGTCGGGGCCGCTGGATTTGGAGGGGTTAGGCCGCCGAAAGGGTGACAGCCCTTGGCCGGATAAAATCCGGATCAACTCCGGTACATAGAACCGGTGGTCTTGAAACTATGAAACGCAGCGCTAGCAACATCGGCTTTCGGCTGATTAGTTTATTTAGATACAGTAAAGAAGATCGGATTCCTTTAAGAAATAATTTTAGAGATGTTTTCAGCTGATGGTGGTTAATAAATGAAACGGATCTCCGTTTGATTTTTTGTGGTTTGTTCTCGAGTTTTCCAGAGCGGGAAAGGCGGTAAGCAAGTGATGAATGACGAAGGAATCACAGAAGAAACATTGATTCTGGCAGCTGCCGCTCAATAGGTGTAACTAAATTGGTCGGCATGGTTGACGGAAAATCAGGCTTGATGTGACTTGGGTTAGTCCTTAAGTAATGATGATTATAATTTACCCAATTAAGAGATAATACTGTGCTTCTTCTATGTTTCAGCTATGAAAATTGAGCAAAATGAAAATATTAGTACATGGGAAATAAGGTGTTTGTCTTCTCCGACTGCGGCGAAGGAGATGTAAGATGCTTTCGATCCATTTGTGAATAGGAGCTTCGTGACGACTGATTTGAAGGGGGTAGTTGCTTCAGGGAAGCGACCTTTGTACACGCAACTAGGCGTATTGTGTTTATTTCTTTTACAGTTTTACAAGGTCAGTTAGAAACGAGGTTTTTTTCACTTTTCACGGAGGGTGTTTGACCCGCCAAGGTAAATGGATTTGAATTTTGCTTTGTCTTTCGAAAATAAGGCGTATTTGTAAATAGATGATGGTACCACCTTTTGCGAACGTTTTTTTAGATACGGCTGGTAAGAAATCCTGTTTCAAGACGATGTTGGAACACATGACAAGTAGAGCTTACATAGGCAGTCTTCCACACTGCTCTTTAAAGAAGGTAGTCCAGATGCCAATAAAATGCTTTTTAATGGAGATGGAGATGACGGAAATGCGAGAATATAGCGGCGAACTTCAGAGTGGTAAAGTGCAGTCAGCATCTTGCTGTAATTTATTATAGATGAGATGATAAACTTGGTTAGGTTTACCCGTAGAGCCGGGCCGAGGAGTGAGCGCTTACTCGATAGATGTTTGATAATGCTATTTAAGTTCACATCTGTTCATATCTGAAGATAAATTTACATTGTTAAAGTTAAGAGTAGGTGTGTTACAATGTTTTTTTTTTTTTTTACAAATATGTAGTTGTTTGGATTTGGTCGGAGAAATTGTCGTGCCTGAGGACTTGGACAAATTAAATAACAAAGCTAATACTATATATCACTGTAAGGAAAGTCATGACTAATGTCAGATCTGAAGTTTTTGAAAATAATGCGAGGAAAAGCAGCCAAAATAGCGCTTATTTCGTTAAATGCAGTTGTAAAGAGAATGATGGAGAGCAGACCCTTTAGGGGTGCCATTATCAAGAGGAAGTACATCGGAACGCGAATTGCATATGAGGACAACCATTTTGCGTTTGGAAAGGAATGATTTAATGAATCCGTAAATTTTTGAGCCAACTTTCCATTTGATTAGTTGTTTTACATTGACGTGGCTCCCGTAAAAAATCGAGGGAAAGTATTGTAACATAATTTTTGTGGGATAATGCTTCAGACACGACGTGATCAAGATGCAGAAGAGCATCTAATGTCCTTTGCCTTCCCCCGGGGCTTCCCAGGTTTCAAGATTGGAGGTATAGCGCTAGTTTTCCATTGGGAAGGATAGTTGCCAGTGTTGTATGTTATAGTGGTTGGTTTGACGGGATAGTAAGGAGGGAGGGAGAAGCTTAATGATGGGGTATGATATTTTATCGTCTTCGGGGGTTTTGCCCTCAACACGAGAAAGGATAGAGAGGATTTCGGGGGTGGAATCTAAGAACTTCTCCGATGGAGACAAGTTGGAGGAGGGTTGTTAAGGGTTGAATGTTTGCTGTGAGCAAATTCTGGGGGGAAGTTTGAGTTAGAGGAAACATTGGAGAAGTGAAGAGCGAATTCCGAGGCTATATCACGGGGATATAGTAGATTACCACGGGAGGATTTGAGGAAGGAGATTGGGGAGAAAGACGGTAAACCCGTTAGTCTTCTTATGTCAGACCAAATTTTTTTAGTACTAGAATTGGGATTAATTTCGCTAGTGAACTTTTGGAAGCAGATAATCTTGGCAGATTTGGCTTTACGACGGAAAGGGGCGTTCAGATTTTTGTATTTTACTAAACTGGTGACTAAACGGCTACGTTTGAACTCGTGCCATGCAAGCTGTTTTTGTTGCCTTAGTGAACTGAGTTCATTGTTCCACCAACGTGGCCCCAATTTGGATGGTTTGGAAGAGGATTGGGGAATGGAATTGCCTGCAGCTATACGGTTAACTTTTTGTATGCGTGAGGTTTCTTGGCTTACGTTAGAGGAGATGGGAAAGAGCGTAGATTGGACTACACAAATTTCGTTGAGTCGGTTCCAGTCGGCTTGAACGGTTATGAAGCGAACTCTGGCTTTGAAGTGGAAGGCGGGGCTAGGGGAGGAGATTCTTGAGAGGATAGGAAAGTGGTCGCTACCGTAGAGGTCGTCGATACGACGGGAGGGGAATAAGCACATATAAACGAGATTTTGTTTGGGGATTGAATTTCTATGGCCAGGGAGGAGATGACGGAGAGGGGGAAAACATTGTATGGAATGTGAGTTTCATTCCATTGTATTAGAGATATCATCTCGTAGTTACAAATGTGATATGATTCGTTGCTGTTTTTTGAAAGATTTTTTTGTGCAGGAGGGGGTGGAGTTGTTTGTTTGGGGATGTGTTTAGATAAGTATGGAATATTATCCCTGCTAGCAATAATGCCAGCGACGGTAAAGGGTGAACTTCTTTAACTTGCCTGATGGTGCATTTTCCTTGCGTTTTGATTTTTAATATTTCTTTTTGTTGAAGAAAGGGACTTCTGTGGAAGTTAAAGGCATGATCAGTATCGCAATTAGCACAATTGATGCGAGTGCAATCTGCACTTGGAAGTGGGAGGTTACAGACTTCCCACGTGGAATCGTTTCGACAATTTTTAATTGGCGAAATTTTTTTCACCGCATTGCGTTGGGGAAGTACTCTCTTAATCGTTCCTTTCGCCAAGAAATCTTGATGATTTCAGGGAGCCGGTAGAGGTCGAAAGTGAGTAAAACTACCCTGCGTGGAAATAATTCATCCTCAGTTTTTTAATGAATTTGTAAGCTTTAGTGACATCTTGGGAACCAAGCTCTTCAGATATTTCTTCGTCTGACAATTGATTTAAGTAAGGAGTATAAACCGTTCCTTTCACAGAACTTAGATTTTCATGATATTTGCAATTCACTTTACATATGCCGGGTATTTCTTTAATTGAGACAAATTTATCTGCAGTTTTCTTATCTTTTGCTAAGAGTAGTAAACTACCATCTTTTAGCACAGATTTTATTTCAATATCACTGTTTATTACTTGAAGGTATATGTGTACTGCGAAGCACCAATAATGTGATAGAGACTTTTTATCATTTGTTACTTTTAAGATCAGATATTTTGGGTTAGGTATCGGTGTTTTTGGATTTGGCAGAATTGGCAAATCTGTGATTGGGGATGAATGGGAACTGGTTGTCAGCGGATTGTCTCCAAAGATAAAACCCCTGGGGTAATTTTTACACTACACTTGTCTCACGTCTCACTACACAAAATATATAGAACCCACGTGAAGTTGTTTTTGTGTAAGGAAGGCCGGATAGAAAGAAACTAGAAAAAAATATGAGAGCGCAGTCGAAAGAGTATCGTATACG